CATGCCGCCCAGCGTCGCGCCTTAACGGCCCGCGGGTCCCCGACGGCGCCTCCCGGCCGCCATCGGCCGTCCTCTCCGCCGCCGCGCTCCTCACGGACCCAGGGCCGCCGCCGCCATCTTCCGCCTCCGCGGCCCTGCTGACGCCAGCGAGTCTCAGCGCCGGCAAGAGCGGACCTTCTACGCCCGCGAGGAACGTAGGGATGCCGGCTGTCTACCCGCGGCGGCCCCGCCCTCTGGCCTAGCCACGCCGAGGGGCGGGGCTGGGTCAGCCAGGTCTTTTGTATACTGCCCCACAATGCCCCGCTGCTGCTGAGACGTGCTTGGGAGGTAAAATTAATCAATATTTGAGGCTTAACCAAAGAGACCTTAGGTAAGCGCGACGGTGGAAGATATTTTTTGAGGTGGCGCTGTAGAAGGCCAGGCCAAATGGAAGCATAAACTATGTCACTCTAAATGTAAAAGTAAGTTCTTTATTGCCTTTAAATCCCCTGTGTCGTAGACGGGAAGGGGTGGGCTTCGTGCGCTATATTGCAACTTCGGGGTGGTGTGCTACTACTTTGCCGTAAGGATAGCGCTGCAAAATTTCGCCGCTGTTTTGCCCCGCCACGCGGGCTGTTGAAACAGTCCCCTCGCGGGGGAGCGGTCTCAGCCAACCCCGTCCTCCCGAGGAGGAGGAGCTGCTGAGTGACCCCCCATCTGAGGCAAGAGGCCGGCGTCGCTGAGCCCGCGCCTCCTTCTCTGACCTCTTACTGGGCCCGTAGCTTGTGTGTCCAACACTCACTGAGTGCGCACTGCGGGCCAGGACCTTCCACACGCGCTACGCTCCCAGGAGCGGGCTGGCTACATGGAAGCGTAGAAAGCAGGGCTCCGGAGGCAGGGAGCCAGGGCCTTCAGCGGCCACCCTGACGAAGGACAATGGACACCTAGGCCTGGTGCAAACAGGTTTAGGGAAGTGAGCGCACAATGTCCAGGGCGGTGGTGGGGCGGGGTCCCTGCCCTCGCAGAGCTCGGGGACCAGCATGGAGACCGGCAAACAGGCAAGGGGGGGTGTCTGATCTGGCTCCTGGTGTGGAGCTCCCACCGTGAGGTGCGCAGACAGGGCCTCTGAGAAAGGCCAGGGCGTGGGAGGTTGTGGGGGTGGCTGTCCTGAATTGAATCCTGTAGTCAGGGGGGCAGGTGACTTCAGCTGTGACCCAGAGGCTAAGGAGAACCTTCCAGACCTACCTGTTGGGTTTTATAATCCTGGGAGCCCAACACCCTGAGTGGACAAACAGACCGACCCATACCTGCGATACCCAACCAGGAGGCTGAAGTCATTCTCTTCCTGTGTTCTGCACGGTGCCTGCATACAATTGGTGCTCAATAAATGCACACTCCTGAAATTATAGATAACCCCCCAGATCACTTGTTAGTTGTAAAGGGAGAGAAAAAAATCATATTTTCTAATGGAGAGGCCGGGCGGTCTTGATCCCTATGACCTCGGGGAGCACACCATGCTGCACTGTGGCAGGCACTGTGGGTCAATGATCCCTCCATCACGGCCCAACACATCACCCACAGGGGCTCCTGAGCAGGGAAATGTGGCCAGTGAGGCTAAGGAGCAGAATTTTAAACTTAGTTTATTTTTATTAATGTAATTTCTTTTGAAATAGCCCCACGTGATAGGTGGCTGCTGTATCCAGCAGCACAGTCTAGCGCTCACTTATAGATATGTGGGACCCACGATGCCAGTGCAACTTCACCACGGGTCAAAACTGTGTGGCCAGCCGCTGGACAACTGTCGCCATCAAGAAAAAGGACAAGCAGGGAAAGAGTTCTAAATCTAAATCACAAGGCATAGAGGACCCAATGCCTCGCCACCTTCCTGGGGACAGCAGGGGAGTTAGAAGCTTGCCTGAATTTCTGAGGATACTATGGGTGTGTGTGTAGATGGAGAGGGGGTTTGGGGTGGGGGTGTTGAGGCTAGCCAAATTCGGGCAGGTTGGGAATTACATGGGATCTTGGGTTGGGACACTGAGTAGGTGACCCGCCAGCCATGCTGGAAGGAGGGCAGTGAAGGAACCAGGTAGAGAATATCAGGCAGAGGGCACAGCCAAAGCAAAGGCCATAAAGCAGAGCAAGGAGAAGGTCAGTGTGCCCAGGGCAGAGAATGGGGGCCTGGAGGACACCTTTGTTGAGGGAGCAATGGGGATTTATGGCGAACTGTGAGCAAGAGAGGCTCCTGACCCCAGTTAACCGGCTAAGATTGTTACTTTTGTTGTTTTCTTTTTTTAATCCTCACCGGATATTTTTTTTCCAGAGGGAGACAGAGAGGGAGGGG